TTAGACATACCTCGTTGCTGCCGGTACGTTGGAGCATTAGAGTGGCAAATGAGAAATATGTGGTTGAGGTTGAATCACAAGATACCTACTTTTTTTTAATCTCAAGTAAACCGTCCCCTATATATATATATATATATTATATATATATATATATATATATATATATATATATATATATATATATATATATATATACTAATAAACTCTAATAAATGAAGGTTTTTTTTGTCATATGTCATACTCTCATTCAATTTGTCAAATGTCATTTTGTGGTTATTTTGAATTAATTTTTTTCCACATGTCATTTTATGAGTTTTTCTTTTTTTTTTTGGAACCGGCAAATACTATATTAGAAAAAAAAGGCCAAATAGCAAGAAACTATAGGCTAAAAGTACAAAGTGCATACAAGAAATATTTACATACAAGAGGAAGGACTAGAGCACCAGGCAATCCATTTACAAGAACATTTAGATCTCCTATGTTTAATCCATGAAAACACCATGGATTGAATGTTCCCCGCCAGTTGATTAGGTGATATCCGAATCTTGTTAAAGACAAAGTCGCACCTTGCTTTCCAAATCAGCCATGCAGTGTCATAACAAATGCTAATTAGGTTCCTTCTCTTCTTTAAGCATCTTCCCCATGTAAAGCAAAACTCCACCATGTCACTTATATTCCCAAATTGGGGTTGAGAAATGCCATACCACCTGAATATCTCCTCCCACACCTTTGCTGCCATCGAACATTTGATCAAAACATGATCGGTATCTTCTCTTTCCAGATCACAATAGCTGCACATAACTGTATTAAAATTGATTCCTCTCTTTTGAAGGGCACATGCAGTTGGGATACCATTTAAGACCGCCCTCCAAATGAATCACCGCACCTTAGTCGGGACCTCCGGTATCCAATCGATCTTCCCTCCTTCACCACTCGAGTTCACCATATCTATTTGTTCTCTTACCACATTAACGTGGTATGCCCCGTCTCCAGAAACGTTGCATACCCACCGGTCTGGTTGGGTGTTTGGTAGGAATGATTCCACTTTGAGGGCCAATTCAACAAATTCATGTGCATGAGAACTGGAGGATGGGCTTGATTTCCAATCCCATGTTTTCCCCCCGGTGTTTATCCTGTCCCATATTTTGCATTTTTTAACTTTCTCCAGCTTGTACAATCCCGGGAACATTGATTTTAAATTTCCATTGTCCAGCCATTTATCTAACCAGAACAACGTGTTATCTCCTTTACCCACCTGTTTTTTTATTACATCATCAAAGTTGATTCCAGCTTTCGAGAACTCTTTTTTTATCCCTGCTATATTGTTCCAAACACCCGGAATGGACTTCTTTGAGATACAATCTGCAGCTTTGTTATTAAGATTATGGATACCAATAATAGAATCCTTCCATAGACTTGCACCATCATTGCGCAACCGCCACCACCATTTACCAATTAGTGCCAGATTCAAAGCTTTAAGTGAACCCATCCCGAGACCGCCAGCTTCTCTAGGGGACACCACCTTTTGCCAAGAGACCCAGTTGATTTTTCTCTTCCCATCACCATTCATACCCCATAAGAATTTCTTTCTAAAACCTTCCATAGAATTTATGACTCCAGAGGGTGCAACGAACAGTGAGAAATAGTAGGTAGGTAGATTACCAAGAACCGCCTTGCATAGTGTGAGACGCCCCCCCATTGAAAGTGTTTTTGATTTCCATACGGATAATTTGGCCTGGAATCTCTCGATCACCGGTCTCCAGTTTTTCTTCAACTTCATGTTTCCACCTACCGGTACACCAAGGTAGTTGAAAGGGAGTTTGGTCAGTTCACATCCAAGGGGAGTGGCGTACCGGGTAACCTCATGCATGTCTACTCCGACACCAATAACCCTCGACTTGTGGAAATTGACCTTGAGACCAGATGCTATGTGAAAGCACCTTAGAATTCTTGCGAGATTCCTAATATTTTCCTTATGCCATTCGCCCACGAATAGAGCATCATCCGCATAGAATAAGTGAGAGATGGATGTCTCTGTATGTGGGAGGGCCGTCCCGGTAAAAATGCCTTTCTCACAAGCTGTTTTTATTGCAATATTAAGCCCCTTCCATGGCAATAATGAAAAGGAAAGGTGACAGTGGATCGCCCTGTCTAACACCCCGTTCCATTTCGAACTCCTTTGTAGGTGACCCGTTTACAAGTACAGATGCTCTTGCAGAACTTAAACACCCTTGAATCCAACCACGCCATTTATCTCCAAATCCAAGTTGCATTTGAATCGAGTCAAGGTATTCCCCGTTGACTGAATCAAAGGCTTTGTCGAAGTCCACTTTGAAGAGCAACATTTTCTTTTTGGCTTTCTTACTCCAGGAGTAGAGTTCGTATACAATCAGCGGACCATCCAAGATATTCCGACCTTCAACAAAAGCAGTTTGCACCTCTCCAATACACTTACCAATAACCTTTTTTAGTCTGTGAGCCAAGGTTTTTGCAATTATCTTGTATAGACAGCCAATTAGACTTATTGGTCTATAATCTCCAAGCGTGATCAGATCCTTGATCTTTGGAACTAAAGTAATGAAAAAGGAGTTGCATCCTCTTCCAAGACTCCCATAATTTTCGAAGTATTTAACAGCATTTGTTATGTCATCTTGCATCTCCGCCCAATACTTCTTAATGAACTGGAAAGAAAAACCATCAGGGCCCGGCGCCTTTTCATTCCCGCATGCCCATACAGCGCATCTGATCTCTTCCTTGGTGAATGGAGCTTCCAGCTGAGCTTTGTCAAAAGCATCCAACGGGGTGAATTTATTGCTGATCAACTTTGGTCTCAAAGGCCATTTCTCCAAGAACTTCCTTTGATAAAATTTAAAATCTTCTTGCTTAATAGTCTCTGCATCAGTGTTCCAAGATCCGTTAATCTGCAGCCCCATTATTCTACTCTTTCTATGCCTGTTATTTACATAACCATGGAAGAAAGATGTGTTTTCGTCGCCGTCTATCACCCACTTTATTCTGGATTTTTGTTTCAGATCCAAGGTCGCTAATTTCTCCATTTCAATTATTTTCTGTATTCCGGATCGTCTTTCATTCATCTCCCATTCACTAAGTTGTCGCCTCTCCGCCAAGCAATCAATGTCATGCACCTGTTGTTTGATTCTCTTTAATTCAACTGTCTCTCTGGGATATGTTGGGTTTTAGTATACTACAACATCCTATGGTGCACATACAACCCTAAATACCTTGGATCTATGTTTTCTCTATTATACATGCAAATGCTTTCCAAGGCATTAAACCTATAACTAGCATGCATTTGACATAAACAATATAATATACTAGTTAGGGAAACATACCTTTTATGTGGCTTGAAGTCTTGATGTATTTGGCCTTAAGAGCTTAGCACCAATAGTATGAAATGCCTCAAATGGAATCACAACACACCTAGGACAAAGGTGGCTCTTGAGAGAGAATTCCATGCACCAAAACACCTCCATATTTCTCTCTAAGAAAAGAAGTGGTGATTTTGGCTATGGAGTAACCTATTTATATGTAGGATTCCAAGGGTCATGGGTATAGCCCATAATCCATACCCATGGGTTTTATGATCCATGGTTCATGTGGCCCAACTCTTTATGTATCCATACATAAACTTGGTCCAACATGGATCATAAGCCCAACACATATAAATATAACTAATTATCATAATTAGTCCCCATAGATTTAATTAGCCTCTTTTGATCACTAAATTAATTCCAAATTAATTCTTGATCGATACTAATTAAAACATATGATTTCATATTAATATATTATAACTTATAATATATTAATAAACCATAAATAACCTTCTCTCAAAGTCCATCCTAACAAATTGTCCTGATGATATGCAACCCAAATGGACCATGCTACTCTCGGGTCAAGTACATACCAATAATAGTTATGGGCTTAGACATCTAATCCAACAGGATATTCATTTGCCCTCCATTTTTTAAGTTCATTCTTCAAGAATTTGAGCTTGGCCACCAGATAGTAATCCGGGGTGCCATACCCCTTAAAGTTGCGCCAGGCATTGACAAAAACATTATCAAAACCTTCCTTCTGCATCCATGAGTTGAAGAAACGGAATGGGGTTTTTCCAAAATCGGGTGCAACGGTTTTTAATACAATAGGGCTTTGATCAGATAGATCCCTTGGGAGTGCTGTAACAGAAATTGAGGGGAAGGCATTTAGAAAGTTATTACAAACCAGGAAGCGATCAAGTTTACTTAATTTGATATCAGTTCGGCAACAGAAGGTATAACGCAGACCACCCATTCGAATATCATTAAGACCTGCTTCCCTGATAAAACTATTGAAATGAAAAGCAGACTGAGGGCAAAAATGCGAATTATATCGCTCGTCCGACCGCCTAACAGTGTTGAAATCTCCAAACACTACCCAAGTACCCCTTTTATTCCTTTTTATTTGTAATAATTCTTCCCAGAGTTTTTGTTTCTCTGTATTGGAATGTGGCCCATATACATTCACTAAGATAGTATCCCCTTGATTTCCTTCCCATCTCCCAATTGTTGCCAGTAGATATCTCGATTTTATGATCTCAGACACTTTGAAGATCCTGCTGTCCCAAATGCTTACTAGACCTCCATATCTGCCTTGAGATTGGATTGCCGAGTAGCCAAAGTCAATTGAGTCCCAACATCCTGCGACATCTATATCATTCATATCCACCAGTTGCGTCTCCTGTATCCCCACAAAGGAGGCACGATGCAGCATTTTTAGCCTCCTCACCCATTCAACCTTGTAGTCTTCGCCTATTCCACGTACATTAACACTGATACAGTTCATTGTGGTGCTGCATCCTCGCCAGTTTCGCCCATCACTTCCTTTAAAATTGGGTCGTTGGAGCTAATTTCGAACCCTATTGCCTTCCCAATTTCTACCGTCTTTCGAATTTCAATTGAAGAGGAGGAGCTTTCATCAGGCACGTTCTCATTCAGGTTTCCATGGCTTTCAGATGGAGCTCTATTAATACATTCCGGGATCATCGGACCTTCGCAGATGTCACTAGACCCCCACATATGTCGGAGAAAAATTCAGTTCAATCCGTCCCGCCGGCACCACCAGGACCAAGACTCATTCAATTACAACGTGACGCTCAGGCTTACCACCGGTTGCATAGAACATCACTCATTAGGGAAGCATTGACCCTAGACCATCTGGGGCATACGCCAAAACTCCTACGAGATAACGGTGAAACAGATTTGGAGATCACATACGTGGGGGGGCTAAGGGTTCTTTTTCTTTTTGACGGCTCAGTAGATGCTAAAGATTTCTTGAATAATGAGAATAGGTGGAAAGAATTTCTGAAGTTGGTGAATTGGAGTGACAAGACCGATATGCAAGTTGAGAGAGTGGCCTGGATCAGAATCATAGGGCTTCCACTATACCTATGGGGGGATCGTAACTTTGCCAGTATCACTGAATGGTTAGGGAAGACAATAGCACCATATGAAGATCTATCAAATAGGGTGGACCTGTCGTGTCCAAAGATTGGAATCCTCACATCAAGGAAAACCAGAATAAATGATGAACTACAAGTTTCCATTGACGGGAGGGTCCTAAAAATTGGTATCACCGAATTTGATGAAGACTGGTTTCCTTTTCGATTTGACAAGTCGGAGGATTACTATGAGACGCAGGATGAGGATGATGAAGAAGTCGGTGAGTATGGGAATGAAGAAGAGGATGGGATATCGGATACGTATATGGGGAACTCAGACGATGAGAAGGAAGATGGTGAGATATCACCAGAATTACAAATGGGAAAGAATGTGGCTCAAACGGAAGGTGGAAAAGAGACAAACGCAGAGATCGAAGAAGAATCTCCGACCAGGCAACCGGCGGTCAGAAGCGAGGTAATCGGAACGTCAGAAGAAGTGCAACGGACGCCTGGTGATCAAACGACGGTGCGGGATTCTATAATGACTGAACACGAAGCGTCGCCTAGAATCTTGGAAGCATTAATGGATAACGGTAACATCCCTGTTCTAACCCACAATTCAAAGGACAAGTGTCATGGCCCAGGTATGGAATCAAACCCAAACACAAATGGGCTCTCTTATGGGCTACCCCCAATTGGTTGTTTTGGGCCGTTTACTTCCCCTATTGTAACAAACAAAAGGCATAGGTCAGTCATCTGAAGTATGTAGCTCACTGGGGAAAAGGAGGAGATTAGATCACGACGAACCCAGACGATCCCTCCTTTTAATAAATTCGATGACTGCTCTCTTTGACCTTGATCTACCCCCGACGATCATGACTTCTCAAACGGCGGTGGTCAAAAGGAGCCGATCATGCTCCAATCAACATTATGAGTTTTTCTATTTCATTAAATTCCATATAATATTTTAATGTAATAATTGCAATAAATGTAGTAATAAATGGATATCAATTTCATTAATGAACTTACCTTTTAATTTCAAAAATTTCAAAGTAAAGCTCATTAGTTTTTTTTGTTTATTTATGTAAATATTTGTTTAAATTTAAAAGATAAAAATATTTCAATTATAATAATTTATTATTTTTCTTTTATTTTCTTATAAATTCAAAGTTCTTAGATATTTTGACATTTACATTTTTTTTTAAATTAACCCATGGAATACATGGGTCTCACAATTAGTAAATGAATAAGTTTATTTTCCTATTGACAAGTGTCACAATATTATAAATCCTCATTAATATTACATGTCACCTATCAAGCCACATGTCAATCTGTTAATTCTCCATTTTAAATTTTAAATTTTAAATTTTAAATTTCTCACTCTAGTTACATTAAATTAGTAATTGATTCCTTATTTCAAATTTTAAATTTCACACTTTAATTAGATTAAATTAATAACATTAAAATAAAAAATAAAGAAAATTAATATATATATTATAAGGTGATATAATTTCATGTATTTATTTAAATCAACGATTATAATTTTATATAACTAAAAAAATATCTATTAATTAATAATTTATTTGAAATAATTGATTAATAATTTTAAATTTTTACTATGAAGTTTAATTAATTTTATAACCGTGGTTCTCACGGGTTATAAACTAGTATATATATATATATATATATATATATATATATATATATATATATATATATTTGTGTTTTCCAAAAAAATCAAACAAATTTAATATTTTTGTTATATTTGGTCAATTATGATATAAATAACACTAATGCACTAGCTGGACAATCTCGTTAAATGTTTCTTTATAATTACTAAATGATTTGTGGTATCAAATGTTTGAAAATGTCACTTATGCAAATGGTTAGAAGTTTCAACTAGTCTAATGGTAAACAAATCTTTAAATTTAGGAATATCATGATATGAGGTATTAGCCGTTTTAAAAATATTTTTTTTACTGTTTTATGATCAATTGGCCTATTTATTTATTTTTTTATCATAAATATGAGGACGACCTTATATATTAAACATAGGTTTTATTTATTTATAAATATATATAAAGACGATCATATATATTAAACCTAGGCTTTGTTTCTAAGAAAACAAATACTTATTTATTGTTTGAAATTCCCTCATCGTTTTCTTTTGAACCAATATGTTGTGGATATGTATGCATAAATTCTATTGTAGCCTCATTGACCAGAATATATGTTGTTATGTCCTCTTTCCTTATTTGTAAGCCATTGAATTGTATTTTTTTTTATGCAGACGTAACATTATTCCATGTTTATAGTACTAAATTCCGTAGTTGGAGCACTTCTTTTTCTTAAATTTATTGTATCACTACAAAAAAAAAATTGTAAAATGTTTTACTTCTCTTTTATGGAACATATATCTTTCTACCTTGTTATTTTTGTCAAAATTAATAAAGCAGTTTCTAATATGTATGGTACGATAGCGGTTTCTTTATTTATTTATTTATTTATTTTATTTTTATGCATAATCAACAAGTAAACCTAAATTAATGTTCTTATTCTATAATTGTTGGATATTTACCTAATCAGTCCATGCCAAAAAAATTCTATAAAAATAGTCCCTCAAACGTACAAAATGGTCTTGTTTTAATAAATATTACAAAAATGGTAATGGTCCCTTTAAAAATACGGAATAGGTCCATGTGAGGAATTATTTTACAGGAATGGTCCATATGTTTCAAAAAACTACATAAATCGTCCCTTTCTCATAATAACTTTACAGAAATGGTCCTTATGTTTCATAGAATTATAGATATGGTTCATGTCTATTAGATTCTCCTTCCGTCCTAAATTAATTGTCCACTTTTGATTTTTAAAATATTTTTTTCTTTAACTTTGACATTGAATATTTTTATCTGTGTTATATATTATAAAATTGGAAATATATTTAAAGTACAATCCATTAATATATTTTGCGTCAAGTAGTATCTATAAAAAAATATATTTAAGGTCAACGTTGAAGAATAAAGACTTTAAAAGTCAAATGTGGACAATTAATTTGAGACGGAGATAGTATTTTATATAAATGCAAAAATAGTAACGGTCCCTGTAAAAATACAAAATAGGTCCATGTGAAGAATTATTTTACAGGAATGGTCCATATGTTCTAAAAAACTACATAAGTTGTCCCTTTCTCATAACAAATTTACACAAATGGTTCCTATGTTTCATAGAATTATAGATATGGTTCATGTCTAATAGAATTTTTTTATAAATGATATATGTGTTTTATAAAGGGGAAAATGCCACAAAAGTCACTAAGTTTACACAAAAATTCGATTTTGACACTGTGTTATTTTATATCTCAAATTGGACGCTTCGTTTCCAGTTTGTTACAATTATGACTATTTGACCGGTAAACCCGGTTGTCTCCTGACATGTCAGTTTTGATGATGTGATGTCAAAATTGAAAAAAATTGTCACAAAAGACATTAAATTTTCATTTTTTGTTTAATTTTGACACTAAGTTTTAATTTGTTTTTTTTTTATTTTGACGCTCAATTTTTTTTGTTCTAAATCGAACATAATTTTTTTTCAATTTTGTTCACTTTTGATGACGTGATACTTTATTTTTTTGTTTAAAATCAAAAATCATATTTTGTCCCATTTGAAACTGTATAAATAATTTTTTTATTTAAAACCATATTTTTTTTTGTATGAAGACAAGATTTTTTACTTTCAAAATTTAAATATTTATTATGTTAGAATAATTAAATAAAATAAAATTGAACATGAGGCAAAAATTGAACTTGGGCAAATTGGTCAAGAAATGTAAAAATGATTTCTATTGGTGATTTAACTAATTTTATGTTGGGTCATATTTTTTATATAGTTATTGACCAAAGTAAATAAATTGGGAAAAAATATAATGGAAATCAAGAAGTATACGTAAGAAAATAAATGAAATATAAAAGTTTTATCAAAATAATAAGCGTCATACTTTGGAAACATAGAAATTTCATATAAATACATAATAAATATGGTATAATAGTTAAAATATCTGGTTGAAACAGTTGAGAAAATAAACCAATTAAGATACACAAATTTTGTAGATAACAAACTAAATATGTATTAAATATATTATAATCGTATTGTATTATAATTGTATAATTCATGTACTATTATGATATTATGATTTTTTCCAACAAATCAACAAGTATATCTATGAGAATAAAAAAATCATGAATATATACAACAAACGATTCCTTGGTAATTAAAGCGAACATCGGACCCTCGTTTTAACGAGATCACATTAGTTTATTTGACTGTTGACTTCACACTTCTAAACCCATTTCAAAGTTGCAGCTTATTTCATTGTGCACTTGACACCTCTAAACTAATTTTAAAGTTGCGTATTTAATGAAAAATACGATTATAATATAACTAATACATATTTATACATAATATTATGGTTTGAATATAAAAATCATTGTATTTATATAAAAAAATATAGTTCTTAAATGAAAAAAAAATTATATGGTTTTAAATGGAACAAAAAAAATTATTTATATGGTTTTAAATGAAAAATTGTCAATATTGAATAAAATTAGAAAAATTATGTTCAATTGAAACAAAAAATAAAGTGTTAAAATTGAAAAAATAAAAATAAAACATAAGTCCTTTTATAAATATTATAAAAATATTTCATGCGTTTCATAAAACCACATAATTAATCCATAAAACTACATATAAAAATATTTCTAATAACAAATTTATAGAAATGTTTCTTAAATAAGAAAAATAAAAAAAATTGTATGAAAAATATAAAATTAACAAATACAATCCAAACTGCGAACCAGCCCACTAATTTTATTTTATTTTTTATATTAGATTTGTTCATATAATTTCATATTAAAAAACCTGTTTGGAACACATCGGCCTTGGTGTGGTCATTTTTAAAAACTAACTCATGCTAAAAATATGGTAAACAAACATTTCATGATCACATGTTTCACTTGTCATTTGTCACTGATTAGTTATAAAACATCAATGATCAATAAAGTATGTACAAATTTTTAAAGCCAAGTATTTGAATATTTTTATAACATGTTTCATTTGTTAGTTAAAGCATGTATAGATTTTAAACCTAAGAACTTCAATATTTTTATTACAAGTTTCACATGTTAGTTGTTATTTGTTAGTATGGTTCTAAAAGACGCACCAATGCTTGTCATGACATGACACGTGATGTAGCCGTCTCGAAAACATTCAAGACGGGTTTGTTAAGCGTGTCGTCCAAATAACGTGTCAAGGCGTGTCTTGTCGTATTATGACACGAGTTTTTTTTTCCTGATCGGATATGAAACAATTGAGTTTTTGTTAACTTCTTGATATTAAGTGTTGATATAACAGTTCTAAAAACTTGATATATTTGATATAATTCTATAATTTTTTTTATGTATACAAAATTATCACATTTTGAAAAATATCATAGCTTGCCAAGGTATAAGCTTGACCTTGTCAATGTGCCACCTTGGTTGTTAGTGAATCGTTTATCTTTTTTAGAACTAAAACCAAATTAAATGAATTCTCACTTCCAAATACTTGCGTTTTTTTTACGGTTGTTTTATTATATAATTTAATGAGGGTGTTGTAATAAAACATTTAAACATCTTATTGACACTTTTATAAAAAAGTTAACCTATAATTAAATACTTATAATTATTTTTTTCGGAAAACAATACAATTTCAGCCAACAAAAAG